CTACCCCTGCCCTGCCCTGACTGCCTGAACGAGAATATGTCTGTATACCTGTGTGCCCGGCCGCAGGTGTGCAGACTTCCCCACCCTTCCCCAGGCAAATCAGGAGCAGACTCAGCATGTGCCATGTCCTGAGACTTTGAACTGATGCAGTTAGGACTTCCTTGGCGCTCAGTATGGTATGGGGTCATTTCCACTTGGAACCTTCTGCCTTCGGTCCTCCAGAAAGACCATTCCACTTTGTTCTGAGGAACCCGATCCCTAGGGCACTGACATTCCCTCTCACCTCAGGTGCAGTCACATGACTTTAACTGAACTAATCAGAGCATTCCTTCCTCCAACCTGACCTTACACCCAGCAGTCCGGGGTTCCTAGGGACCTCTTGCTGTCACAGGGAAAGCATTTACTAGGGTATAACCCCAAGCACACACAACAGTTTGAGGCTCCCAATTAGACCTTGTTGGGAGCCCAACTGTCATGGGACACTGTTCTCGGGGTATGGCAAGACTCTCAGCAACTGATATCACTCACTGAAGACCTACAAGACCAGGCTCATTCATATTCCATCATGGAAGGAGGGAGCTCATGAGGCTCTGCCTTTCCTGAGGCATATATGAGGTTAACAGTGGCTAAGGGGAAACAGGCATTTTCTTCAGTGGTGTGAAAGGAGCCCATGTTCCTACAGACATTTATTCAGTTACAAAGGACCCTACAATCTAGGCTTTGACAATGCAGCCCTTCAGATTCTCCTCTGAGACCTAAGCGACTTCTAGCTAGATTCTCAACTGTTATAACTGGCTGGCAGAAGCACATATTACGGAAAGGAAGGAAAAGAATATGGCGAATTCTTACTGGTATTCGGCATTCGCTCGTTTCTGTGCCACAACGGAGCCCCTCCTTTGCTGTCTGCAGGGAGCTCCCATGTTGTTTAGAACCAGAATCAGGCCAGACACCCTTTGTGTTCGTTCTCTGAGACCACAGACTAGCCCCAAGTCCCCTTCTTCTGCTAAGGACCTGAGGACTAGATTTGAGCATGTGACTTGAGCTTGGCCAATCAGAGGTTCAGGCCTGGGCTCTGAATTTGGAGTGTGTGAGGCCCAGATGAAGAGCCAATGAGAATTCCCCTGTGGCCACCTAGGTGCCAGTCCCAAGACAGTTGTGAGCTACAGAGACCACCTAGCCTCTGCTAAATAACCGGGGGCTGGTTCTGACTTCCAGTTCTGCCCTGTATCTGCATGCTTTCTTCCTTGGCCTTCCCCCTCCTCTCACTTCCTGCGGCTGCCCAATATCCCTACAACCACGCTGCACAGCTCATTTGCATGGGCAACAAATATAATGGAGACTCAAGCAATGCCATGAGATGCCATGCTGCCTAAAACACTCTCTTCTCCCACATTTCTCTGTCCCTTAGTGACACACGGTTGAGAACTAACAGGATGAGCTGTCACCTTCTTCTTAGTAAATTTTTTTACCAAGTCCGTCTGCATTCCGAGTCAGTTCCTAATTTACAGTCAACCACAAGCAGCACTTGGTGAGGACAGGGTGACAGTTTGCCATGTGTGACTTTTCACACTTCCTCTGCTCCTTCTAACAGAAATGCCACCCAGGGGTCATTGTGAGGAAGAGGACATGCTCTGGGCCTTCCCTAACGGACAGCAGCAGGATGTCCAAACTGGGGCAAATATTTGTATGTCTGGTCAGCCTGGACAGCTGCTTGGCGATGTGCCTCACTAGGTGGCCTCAGCAAGGTGACAATCCCCTACTGCTACAGTTTGCCTCCTATAGCTGGTCGCCATGGATTTGAGCTTCCTCCAGCCCCACACTAGCAGGCTAGTTTCACTATTAATTCCTGAGGTCGCCTGGAGACGTTCCCTGCCGCCTGGAAGAGGAACCATAACTCTAGCGCTTTGGGTTGATTCTACAGGTGGGAAACAACAAGAAGAAGAAACCTGTGCCACAAACCCCCAGCCCAGGAACGCTGGCAAGGGGCTGTGATGGCCACCCAGGAAAAAGAGGCACATTATTTACGACACAGGATCAGATAGGCGCCCCAAGCTCAGAACAAGAACATCAAAGATAACAGTTCTCAGAGTTAACACATTTGAGCCTCAATCGTTCTGATTCTACAAGGTCCCCCAAGGCTGAAGAGGATGGTTCTTGGGAATAGGGTCCTACTGGGGAAAGCTGGGAGTTCTCTACCTCCTGCCAACTACCACTGATGCCTTCCATTCCCCGCCACTCCTCACCCACTGATGCCTACCACACCCCAACACTCTTCAGCGTAGGCCTAAGACCAGGGGTCCAAATGTTGTCTCCTTCTCAGTGGCCCCTTCCTTTGTGCCCTTGGATGTTCCTCCGGGACCCCATTAGTTGTGATCTTGCATGGTACATCTTGGATCCCGCTCTAGCAACCGTGCTTCTAGGTACTATTTATTAACATTGCCAAGCTTTTAATACCTACCAAGCCAGGCACTCTGAAGAAAGAGCATTTCATGAGCCTGAGGGACCTGTGACTGCATAGTGTGACTATCCCATTATTTGAGGAAACTGAGGCACAGAGATGAGAGAGAACTGGCAGGGCAAAGGTGGACACTGGGTAGTTGTGAAGAGAACAATGCCAGCAAGGCAACGAGGCTGAGCTTGGAGCTAAGGGCTAGGCTCTCTCCCTTGTTATATAGCTCAACAAGACGGGGCTCACATATTGTTTATCGAACAACTGTCCTGGAGATAGCTAGCTCTGACCCAGTTCTGTGCTATCCAGTGATGCTGTCCCCACCTGGAGGACCCCCTTGACTGTGACTACAGGCCACCTCTATATAACAAAGAAGGTCGGTCAGGTCTTCTAGACTACATAGTTGGCCAAGTGAGTTGGGGACTGAGTGACCAGCTTAAGGCATAGGCTACCTTGGTGACAAGCCCACAGCCTTCCTCCACATTCCTTGGGGCTGCTGTGCTGTTTTCTAGAACATACTATCTGGACAGGGCTGGCTACTTCCTTTCTGAGTCCCACCCATATAGAAAACTTTCCATCAGCAGGTGTTACTTAAGCTAGTTAGGGAAGCTTCTGGAATGAAGAACTGGCTACCCCATGGATCAAGCTCCCTTGGAATCTTAACTTTTCTTAGCAAGGCAGGTATAGGGAATGTCTTCATAGAGTCTGGCTTTCATACCCAAACATTGTCTCGCTGCCCAATACTCTACTGCTGAAGCCCGGCCAGGCTTAGCCAGTGGGGCAGAGGCTCACACTGTGTACAAGAAGTCAGTGTTCCTCTGCTAAGTGTGCCTGTGTGTCACCAAGCAGCAAACTCCATCAGAAAGGGTGTGACCTGATTGGGGACATTGTCTTTGGTCTCCTAATCAACATGCTAGGGCAGGCAGCCCCTACAGCCCCTTCTACCAATAGGCTGTGCTCTGAGGGAAGGACAGAGTGACCTGAGTTGACAGCCTGCATGCACCTTCTCGTTCAGGTCTAGGCTCCTTCTCTGAAGATGAAGCTGTCGTAGAGTCACGGGGTGGATGATGAGGGACAAGGTATTCAGTGGGCTCTACCATTTTCTCAGGTGTTGGAAGAGTCATAGGAGACGGGCTTCCTGGCCTAGGCAGGCTTATCTGTCCAGGTTTAATCATAAACCTGATGCTTATCTTACACGGGGGTGGGGCACTCCTACCCAACTCACCCAACCTGGAAGGTGTGGTCTGTAAATATGACCACCCATGCTTGGCAGATGTGCCTCAGCACTGCCGAGTCGGGGATGAAAGGAGGAGACACAGTGCCCCCCCACCCCCACCCCCACCCCTGGTGTTGACGACACCAGCTGGGCACTGACTGCCCAGAGCCCTTTTCCTCCTCCTTGGAGTTGCCATGGTGACAGAAGCAGGAGGGACACCCGCTGATCTGGCCCTCTGCCAGTCATCTTTCCCCTTCCCAGGCCCAGTTTTATTCCAGTTTCTAGTTAGTATTGTTGGGAGCACCTGAAACGGGGCGTCCCTGGCCACAGAGGCAGGGAGGGGGTTAATTGTGCTGGGATGTGTGTGTGTGAGTAGGAGGTGGTTGTTCTGCTGGCTGTGGAATGCTGTGTGTGTGAGCGCACGCACACACAAATATCTTGATTGGTGTGTGTGTGTGTGCGTGTGTGTGATAGTGGTGGGATGGTTGTCTTGTTTTTGTTTTCTCTCTCTCTCTCTCTCTCTCTCTCTCTCTCTCTCTCTCTCTCTCTCTCTCTGTGTGTGTGTGTGAATCATGTTGCCTTACACTCTCTGTGTGTATGCATGAGTGAGTGTGTGTAGTACGACAGTTGACGGTTGTCTTGTTGGATGTGTGTTCACGTGAGTGAACAAGCTGTCTACCCAGGGCAACTACGAAGCCATCTGGGTGCTGCCCGGAGAGTTCCTCCCTGCAGCAGAGCACCATGCTAATCTAGTCCTTCCTTCCAAAGAGGCTGGAGTCTGCCTCTGGTCTGGGGTCCTCCTCTGCAAACAGGCATTGCTGTGGGGTCACTTGAGCTTAGGGATGGTTCTGCCACATCCATCACGCCACCCAGATAAGCCACACGGCTTTTGGAACTTATATGGTGTGGGGACCGACTTCTGCCTATGTGTAGGGGACTGACCAGGAGGCAGTCCTGATGCTAGGCCTGAGTCCTCCAGTGTGTGTGTGGAGTGGGGGACAAGAAGATGGCAGGAGGTCCAATAGAAGCCATGGGGGAGGTGAGACTCCAGTGACAGTGTGGGCATACCCCCCACCACCCCGCTTAGAATCCCCAGCATTCCTGAGGGAGATAGAAATAAGAACTAGTTGAGGCAGGTTCCGCCTGGGGATGGGGAGAAAGGCATCAGCCCCAAGCCCACAGCCTGGAGAGACATGGCCCAAGAGCTGTTACCGAGCTCTCAGTGAGCCCAGTGTGTCACTGGCCTCTGATTCCTTCCAGGACAGTTTCTCAGGTTATAGTAGCCAGTGGGCTGGCAACCATGTTTTGGAGCAACAGGTAACAGAACCCACTTACCTGTGTTCTCGCAGGGACCTTCACCCAGAAAGGCTTGGTTTGCAGTGTCCAGTGCTAACAGTTGTCCCTCCACTCAGGATCCAATGCTTCTATCTGCATACCTGAAATACGATCGTCCATAAACATTTTCAAACGACACTGCTGTTGATAACATTTTTTGGTGGCCTGGGCTAGAGAAACCTTCTCCAGTGTTAGACCCCATAGGAACCCCAAACTGGAGATGTCATAAGACTGGCCCAGGGTCACATGGCTCCATTAGAGGGGTTGACTAGACCTAGACTTGAACCTTTGGACTCTAAGCAGAGTCCTACCTCCATTGTCTAAGAAATGGGAAGCCCTTTTTTTTTTTGTCACATTGAGACACCATAAGGGAAGAATCTATAAAAGTACTTACAAAGATCTTTGCAAATGCAAAGTGCTAGGTCAGTGCTGAATAATTGATAGGCCTGGCTCCACGGGCCTCCTGCAAGACGCCTGAGTTTGCTTTCATTTTGCCCAGTGAACAAAGTTGCCGAGAAAACGGCCAAGAAAGATGTGTGCTTCCCTATGGGTCTGGGAGAGGCCATGGCTCCCAGGATTCAGACAGCTAATGACAACATCCCTGAAAGGAGGGCAGAAAGGATGGGGCTACTGCAAAGAGGAGGGGGTCTGTGAGGAGACCCGGGCTCCTCCTTATGTCCCCTCCATAGCCCTAGGCGAGGGCTTCTCTGGCAAGTGTGGAGGAAGATTCCTGAGAGGCAGAGTAATGGGGTGGAATGGAGCCTTGAGAAATGAGAAGGAAAAGGGTCCTCCTTGGAAGGAGGACCACTGATAAGTCAGTCTGTTACTGTTCCAGTCATTGGCCCCACGTGACCACAGTGGCTCCAAGGAATCAAACACAGAGTAGCCCCTTAAGCAGTTTGTATACAAGCAGAAAGCAGTTGGGGTGTGTATCTTAGCTACTGGAGCAGCATACATTTCCCAGAAGGCTCAGGTACCACTTCACAATTAAGGACATAGTGGCCCTCTAGAAAAAGTCCTAAGTGGCATTTTCCCCAGGACCCTAAACAAGGCAGTTAGGCCTATTCAAATCCACGCTAACAGGCTCCAACTTCAAATAAGCAAAATCAACAGTCTGGTTCAAGTGGGAATCTGTTCTATTTGTTTCCCGTGTCCTTCTGCAAGCTCCCAAGGCCCAACCATTTTGCAAGGATTTCCTAGGTGGATTCCTGGTGCACTGTTGTGTCTACTTGAGTACCGCACCTCCATACCCTATCTGGGTCGGCTGACTGCTCAGGGATTGGAGGGTCTTAGGGTTTGGTTTGGTTGAGTTTGGATGGAACACAGTGGAGGGTGCAGTGGGGTTATAGCTGGTCTAAGTTAGGTGGGGCAATGTCCAGGGTGGCCTGCAGCTGCCCGCAGGAGCATGCTGTGCTCACACTGGGGTATGGAGAGAATCTCTGTTCTAAGTGATTGAAGGCAGAAGAGGAAGTTGGTTGTGTGACCCTGTCCCTTATTATGTCACCAGAAGCTGCACCTGCTGGCCACAGAAGGAGGGAATCTGGTGCATCAGAGAGATCCCAGATAGTGAGGGATGGGGCAGGCGGAGATGGTGGAGACTGGCCACCAACTACCGCTGTTATGGTGGATGGTTGACATCTCAGACTTTCAGTTCATAAAACGGGATCACAGGAGAACCAATCTATGGTCTAGGGGGTGTCAAAGGAGAGAAAGTGTATGTGTAGTACTACTGACAACTCAAACTGAACTGCCACCCTGTGCCCCTGACTGGGCCTTGGCCTGTCCCCGGGAACGCAGCTTCCCAAACACTAACAGTCTGCAGAGTGTCTGTATGTTCTAAGATGGGCAGAACACCAACTGGATGCCACCCTTTCCTCTGTGCAAAGGGCATTTACTCCTCAGCAGTCTGGACCGGAGTCTTTGCTCCTTTACAAGAAACCCCCATGTAATGCTCAACTTGATCCTAAAAGGCTTTGAAGATGAAGAGAGGCTGCCCCCAAGTGCATTCAAAGGGAGACTCCCTCCTCCTAGGGTTCACTGAGTGGGAAATCCCCACCCCTTCCAGAGGCAGCAGTGCAGGTGGGCTGTTGTGCTCTGGCAGCAGGAGCACCCAGCAACCGGCAAAGCAAACATGCTTTTTCTCTGATCTTTTCTGCAGACTGAGGTATTCCAGAGGGGTGGGGTGAAATGGATTGGAGGGACAGATGGACTTGGAAGGCGAATGCTTCTAGAGAGTGCTCCAAGGACGGGTGGCCAGGGTGCCAAGAAGCAGATGGCTGGGATGTCCGGAAACCTCCAGGACAGGCCCCCAGGACATGCTGGAGCTCTTTGGGAGTATGCACATCCAAAGATGTCTACATGTGGACAGAACTTGCTGTCAGGCTCGCTTTGACTCAAACTGGATAACAAAACAGGCTTGCAGCCACCTTCTGCCATGTTTCCAGCGGCTGCTACCAACCAATCAAGAAAACAGATGAGGAGACAGCACAGCCTAGCCTGAGCCCGGAGCATCTGCTATTCTCCAACTACTTGGTTTGGTCAGGCTCTTGACTGTCTTGTGTCCCCAGGGTTCGGCACCTGTGTAAGTTCAAGGGAACATGCATTTGATGTCACTGCTGACTGGGTGGTAGATACAGGAAAGCCAGGCTCCTAGGTGGTCTCCTAGTCATACAGGTCCTCCTCAAAACTTCCTCAAGGTTTCTACGACCACCTTTCCACCCCAGTTCCTTCCAGCTGCCATTGGTCTGTCCTCAGGCACTGCTCAGAGGCTTTACTGACTTCTTGGAATGAGGAAATACAGGCCAGCTTTTAAGAATTGGGACAGTGGTCACTGCCTAGGCTGAAGCCTGAACTCACGCAAGTCTCGCCCTTCAACCTGGAAAATGAGGTCTGACCCAGATTTGCCCTACAAGTCCCTTATAGCATACCCTGTAAGGGAGTTCTGGGGATCCACCACCAACCTGCTCCCACATTTGATCTGGGTATCCTGAAAAGAATTTGTAGCCCCAGTGAGGAAGGAGGGCTCGGTCTTCCCACTCTGAGGTGAGAGACAGAAGCCTGTCCCATTGGGTGGTAACTCTGGAAATGCTTCCATGAAGGCAGTTACCATACACCAGGAGTGTCTTGGAGAGGCTGAGGTGTGATGAAGAGACCTGATGTTGGAGAGCTTTGAGAACAGGGCCCTCTCCCTAATGCCAATGGGACTCAGGGCTGCTAGCCACAGAGCTGCTCCCTAGGTGATACGGCTCGGCGGTATGATAGAGAGGAGTGTAGTGCTTGGGAGGACTGGGTAGGGACTGGATAGGAAGGGTGGAGATAGGGTAATACAACTTCTGACCCCTGGTGTCCTCTTCCCTCTCCTTTCCTTTGCTCGCTACTCAAGAGAGAAGCAGTAGCTATTACTAAGGAGAGAATTGGTCCTTAAGGGGCAGGAATCCTGGCCCAGGTCCTCAGATCCTGTCAACCCAGCCTTTATAGAAGCTCAGAGACCACAGGGGACTAATTGGCAAGGCTCATCTGCCACTTCCTGCCAACTCTAGCCCACTTGCCCGTCCTTCTTGTTCCCTAGGAGCTCAGCCAGTCTCATCCTTCTAGGTCTCTTTCATAAGGGGTCTGTCTTCCTCACTGACCCAAAGTACATTTGAGTATGAGATTCCAGCTGCTTTTTTCTTCTCCTTCCTCCTCTGGGATGTAGCCCAAACTTGCTAGGTAACCAAGGATGATCTTGAACTTTTTGATCATCTTGCCTCCAACTCCCAGGTGCTAGGATTACAGGCATGGGCTACCAGGCCCAGTTTATGCAGTGCTGGGTAAAAAAGTCAGGTCTTTATGCACATGCAGGGGACTTTCTCAGGCCATGAGACAAGCACCCCGTGACTGTGATTTCATGTGGGTGTGAATTGTTTCTTCCTGTCTCTGGGCCAGGGTGTCCCTGGCCTCCGAAGCAACCTTTCCCTACAAGCATTTCTGGAGTGCACAGGGAGTTAGGCACAGGGATGTCTCCGCACCTTCCAAAGCCACACAAGCTGCTTGAAGTTCCCTTGCTTCTCGGACTCCAAACAGAGACTCACACTGTCTCCTCAAAGGGCAATTGTAAGATTCAAGTGACCAAGGATGCAAAGGGTTCTCAGCAGTGAGGTCAGTAGGAAAGAGGCACCGTCACTTTGCCGCTTGAAGTAGATAGAGCATGTTGCTTTGCCAAGCTCTTGAAAACCACTCTGGCAGGATCCCCCATCCCAAGGATGAGGACAGGCTAACAGGTACCTCGGTTACCTTGGCTTGGCCAGGACTTTGACCAATGAATCCCAAGCCTGGTAGGAGAGGAGAGAGAAGGAGGAGAGAGAAGAGAGGACGAGGGAGAGAGAATGGTGGGGGGGGCAAGAAGGGAGGAGGGAAGGAGAGAGAACTCTAGGGTGTGGAAGGAAACCGACTGTGGGGGCCACATCTCCTGAGCATTCCCTACAAGAACCTGTTCTCACCCAGGACTCTACAGGAATGATTGTCCAATGGTGGGAGGGATGGCGGTAGACACAACCTGCTGTGAGTGTAAGACAGACGCTGGAGACACCAGCCTAGAGACAATCCATTTTCCAGATGTTCCCAGGGCTTATCTCAACAGAACTGATGCACACAGAAACCGCATCTGAGAGAAAGCTGCCCCCTCCCTCCCATCGTAGCCCCTTGTTCTTTCTGGCCATCCAGGTGCTTAGCTTCATGGCTGACCTGCTCCTTCCTGAGCAGCCTTTGAGTGTGCAGTCCCCTCCCGTTTCCCTGCCTTCGCTCTTGGGGCACCACAGAGCCAAGTAGCCTGAGTCACTTCAGAGTTGGGGATTGAACCCCTGAGGCCAGAACTCTCATCTTCCTTAGAAGTGCAGGTATGAGGCTCACCAGCTCAGATAAGTACACCTGGACCTGAGTCTCAAGGGGTTCCTCCCTCTCAGGTTATAGACCCACAAATCCCCACTGGGAATCATAGCCCTGCAAGAGTCAACAGAGAGCTATGACCCGAGGCAAGGAGTCCACATTTGACTCCTCCACGCCTTCCAAACAGGCCTGAGACCCCAGGAGCAAACGGGAAGGGACCACGCTGTCTGATGGCAGTGTCTTCACTACAGGGTTATGGGATCCAGAGCCCCCCATTGCCAGCCCTGAAGACCTGGGCGCCCGAGCGCCTGGCCAACCCGCACCGCCGCAAACCCACCTCTTGAGCCCCAGCCGTGTAGCCGGAGCTGTCGCGGACCCTGCAGCCAGCCGGCGCCTGCCCTCGGCGCTCTCAGCTCCCGGCTCCCAGCTCCCGCCTCCCGAGCTCACAAACACTGCAAATTCTCCGCACGGTTCTTTTTTGAAGGGACGTTCTTTTGCATTGCGTCAGGGCGGTTGCCTGGCGACCACAGAGCTATTCTACTAGCCTCTCGGCGCCGCCGCCCGCCTCCCATTCAAGCCACGGCAGGTTGGCCTCCAGGCCCCACTGGTCCGAGCGTGTCGGGGTCCTAAAGACTCCCTATTCAGGGCCGAGCCCAGCCAGACGCTCTCAGAAAGCCTCAGACGAAATCAAATTCAAACATTGATTTTTTTTTTCTTTCCATCAAGACCAAAGCCAAGAGAGTTGTGTCCCGTCCCATCTCCACTCCCCCCACCCCAGACCTCTCCAAGCATGGCAACGTGGCTTTGCCACTGTCAGCAGTTCCGCTGCGGGAGTGGGCAGGGAAAACCGGCAGCACTCCACCCACCAAAGGCTTGGGTTCTTGATCCTAGCTCTAGCAGCAGCCACCAAGTCAGACCAACTGCCACTGCTTGCATGCCACACATCACAGGACTCTAGCTGGGTGGGCATCTGCGGACAGCTTTGACTTAGCTCTCGAATGGGGAAACTGAGACTCCGGGATGTTAAGGGAAAAGAACTGTGGGTAGTGTCAGTGGGTCTGATTTGAGCCTTTTGCCCCATGAACCACCTGTGCCTCATTGCTGGTGTGGTTTTAAGGGGATGAAGCTTTCTCTTTCCTACTGGCTACAGAAGTACTTGAGGAGCGACCTTCAATACCCGACATACCCCTCCCCACTCAACACTGTGGTTGCACTGTGGGTGGACTGGGTTACGAGTGTGGACAGCAGTGTAAAGTTATCAAGTAGTTGGTTAGCTAGGTGCCACATCTGCCACCTGACGGCTCCTTGTATGTAGGCTAATGGAATGGCAGAGAGGCCTTAGTAGACTTGTTTGAGCTCAGTGCGGGCTGAGAACCTCATAGAAAGAAGTTCAGTGGTCTGCAGCATATTCCAGAGTGAGTGTGAGTGTGTGTGTGTGCACGCACACACACACACACACACACACACACACACACACACGTGCAGAAGACAAAGGGATGCTGCACATAGGGACAAGGAAGACAAAAGCCACCTCCCCAGGGGAATAAACCTGGGACTAGAAGCCAAGGGCTTGATTGACCAGGTCACTCGTCATCACACATCACTTGTGCCATCTGGAATGTCACTAGAGCCCCTCTGCTCGCTTGTCAGAAGCCAGAAACCTCTGTGACTAGTACATGGTCCTGGATTGGTAGCAGGTCCCTCCTACAACAAACAAGCAGGGCCTGGAAAGGTGTGAGATAGGAGCCCTAACTTTCCAGGCTTCCTTCTAGGGCCACCCTTTCATGTAGTCACTTCCATCCATAGTGAGGTGACCAGGAGAAACTCCTCTCTTTAGTTCTGGGGTTTTACAATTGAAACACAAAATACCCTGTCTTTCATCATTTTCCTGGACTGGCTTTCCACCCACCCAATAAAGATATATTAATACCTTGTAAATGCCAGACCCTTCTTGTGGCTCTTTAGGACCACCTTATTATAAAGGACCTTGACCTTGCCAGGCTACCGAGGTGGGTCGTGACACCCTTCTCCTCTCCAGAGGGCAATTAGGATGCCAAGTCTTGGGCCAGAGTCTGTCAGCTTCAGTCAGCTGCTCCTGGAAGAGACTTTTCCTACCAAATGATAGAATGACTTTCAAGAAGGGACAGAAGGTGATTGTCATGGATGCCTTCCTCCTTGTCTCTCAGAGAAGTCCACTCAGCAACAAGGCAGGCTCCCATCCTGTAGGGAGCCCATTAGGTCCACTTAGGGATCAGCAATCCTAGGCATGGTGCGCACAACTTTTTACTAGGGAGATAATTGACTGACTGTTCACTTGGTTGCTGTGGTCAGAAAATGGTCAGATGCCTTAGGAGCACAGGTAAGAAGGTGGGTGGGTGTGGGCTAAGGGAGGCTTCAGGGAATGCTGGGGTGAGAAGGAGAACTGGGGAGAAAGAGAAGGACCTGACCACACACTGAAGTCCAATTTGACTGAGGTCAGAGTATAGGTGTCAGGGGCTGAGCTGTGGTGTGTGGCATAGTCCCCAGGACTGTGGGATTAAGAAGGAAGGTCACAGCTTTTGTTTTAGGAAAGATAACCAGGAGTGCAACAGGAAGCCTGTGATCAGGTGATTTTCTCTTCAAAGCAGGAAGGAAGCAAAGGACATACAAGGCTCTGATGAGGGCCAAGAGAGTACCAGCATCATGTCCCCAGTAGAATGCCAAATGGGGATAGCAGAGAGGAGGGACTCAACAGGGATTCAGGAGTTAGGAGGACCTGGACCAAGTCTTGGCCCTGCTGGTGTTTGGTGTATGGGAGGCAGTCCCTGAGGTCCTTGGATATGAGGTGACTTTTTGGGTAAATGAAAGTGATTTCTTTGATGTTGATAAGTTGAGTAACAGGACTCCAGGATACATGTGGTAGCTCTATCCTGGGCCTGTTGCAGATCAAGTGGCTTCAGGCTCATGAAGTCTCTCACAGTCCCCACACCCTTTTTTCTCTACCCTCTAGGTAACAGGGCCCTGGAAGTTCCTGGGAGAAATAGCTGCGGAGATGGCTCAGTCTGTGATGTGCTTGCCTTGTAGGAAGGAGCTCCTGGGTTCAATCCCCAGAACCTGTGAAAATTCATGTTGGTGATTGCACGCACACCACACACCACACACACACACACACACACACACACACACACACACCACACACACACACACACACCCCACCCCCACACTAATCTTATTTGGCTAGTCCCCTATGTGGCCTCTCTTTGGTCTATAAAGACTCAGATGGAGGCTAGACAGCCAAATTGGGGAGTTCCTTTGCCCAATTTAAGTTCCCAGGGTGGGAAAAGAGAAAAGAGAAGGTTTGCCTCTTTTCTCCTGCCCCTTTGAGTTCCATATTCACGAGTGAATGGACCCCACAAGATGTGAAATCAAAGCCTGGCCTTTGTGGTTCTTATAAATGTATATTTGTCAAGGCAGGAGGGAAGAACAAACCTTATTTCAAAGTTTATTAGTTTGATTTATAACGTTCAAATATTTAGACACATGGCGCGTGGGCCTCCTTCATTGCATTTGCTTTGGGCTTCTCAAATGTCAGGGGTGGGCGTGATTCCAGTCTGTGTTGCTGGTTTGTTTAAGGAACAGATGACACAGCTCCCCGTGCACAAGCCCCGGCTGTCACTATCCTCCCTTCCAGCTCCACAGTGGCCTCTTGGAGCTTGTTCTTCTCTCCTGTGAACACTTGTAAGAACGGAGATTGAGACAGTGTTTCCAGGTCTGGTACAGCAACTGCACAGAGGTGTCTCTCCAGCACATACAGCATTAGAAAGAGTTCAGCAGTCACTGCTACCAATAATGCTGTTCAGCCTTGATGGACAGGGGAGAGCCTTCCAGACATTATGCTATGCAGCATAGCATAGTGAATCCTGGAAAGGAACCAAGAGACCCAGATTCCAGTCTCAACATACACACAGACACTAATCTTTTTAGTGTTAACATTAGGTTAGCCCTTTTTGCATCTGGAACTATTGATTTCTGTCCTGGCCTCCTCTGACCCCGGTTCTGTGATGCTCCGTACCCACTGCCTCGGATCTATCACCCTGGCAGGGGCAGGGGGTGGTGCTGAAAACCCACACAGCAGGATGCTTCTGATGGACAGTGCAAATCTGGACCAACAAGAAACCAAGGAGGTCTTATGAAGAGAAACAGTGTGATGAGAGCTACAAGAACACCTGATTTGAGACACTACCAAGGAAGAGGTTGGAGTGGGAAAGCCTGGGTATAGAAGTTACTGTCTTCATCTAGGTGACCAAATCCCAGCAGAAGTTCAGGGAGGAAGCATTTATCTGACTCATGGTTCAGAGAATTACAGTCCATCATTAGCACCTAGAGTGGGCCAGTCAGCTTGTGATAACAGGAGCTTTCAGCAGTGACTTCTCGAGTAGTGGGGACAAGGAAGTCAAGAGCTTAGACCTGAAATGGAGCTGGGTTATTATCAGGGGCCATGTAAGGGGACCAACAGCTGGCATTGGAACTCATGAAACATGGCTGGGTGATTGGCAAAGTCACACCTGAGAGAGCCTTGGAGAGGCAATGCCATGAGGACTATGTGTCCTGAAGACCTCCTGCTGTTATTGAGCATAGCTCTGATTGGTTCCTTCATGGCCACCACATCTCTCATAATCTATAGGTTGTGTGAAAACTCTCAAAGGGTTCCTATCCCCTCAGTGGGCAGTGTTACTGGTACTTATAACAGTGATGGACTTTTTCCAAGCATTGCTGCTAGAGCAAAATAATGATTCAACCACCATCCTTAGAATTAAGACTTGTAGAACTGTTAGTAAGGTTAGGTTAAGCTGGTTTTGCTAATGGCTTTGAGGTAGAAAATTTGGGGGAACAATTTAAAGTTAAGAAAGGCACATAGTTAGTGAGGCACTTGTTGAGGTCGAGAAACAAAAACAACAACAGCCTGAAGAAACAAACAACAACCATCAATAGTTGATGTCCTTTCTTGCTAGGATAGATTGTTGATCAAGAGTGATGATTAGGGCTGGAGAGATGGCTCGGCAGTTAAGAGCACTGGCTGTTCTTCCAGAGGACCTGAGTTCAATTCCCAGCAGCCACATGTTGGCTCACAACCATCTGTAATGAGATCTGGTGCCCTCTTCTGGCCTGCAGGCATACATGCATGCAGAACACTGTATACATAATAAATAAAAAAAGCCTTAAAAAAAAAACGAGTGATGAGTAATTCCTTGTGTGCATTTCTGCCCTCAGCTTCCTGATATAAAAAACTGGTGATGAATGGGTATGCACCCTGGGGATTTAAAGTAGAGTTGACTGGTTTTCATATATAAAAGTTTAGATTTGTGATTCTTTTAAGATTTCTTATAAGATTACCTTTTGAGATAAATAATAAAATGATTGATCCTTACATTAACCACAAAATGCAGCCTGCAGGCAAAGGAACTGGCTGAGAAAAATATCCTGCTTGCTTACA